TAGTTCGTAAAAACAATAATAAAGATCTTTCCATACTCTTCTTAAATGTTATAAACCCCTGCATACATAACACAGTACATAATAATATATATATAGTGATATTTATAAACAAAAGAACTTACCTGAGTGTAAAAGGATTTTGTGAAGTTTAAACAACGGCTTTTTACTCCAAAAGCGACCGCAATGTTTTGTTAGGAATCCTTTGTTTTTAGATTTAATGAAAGATTTTTCAACTCAATTACAAAGCTTAGTAAATACATTTAAATTTAATTACAACAATGCACTATTGTCTAACCGGACATTACAAAAAGAACAACACATGTACACAACAAATGTTTAAACTTAAGTTGTTAAGTTTGTATGTTTGAACGCGCTTTGAAGCGTTTGAAGAATTTATCGAGGAAGGCTATATGCTATAACGCGCTGTGACTAATAGGAGCGAAGACGCGAACAGTGGGAAATGTGGTAAAAAACGGGGAAACTTATTCATCATATTAGGTTTCTGATGCGTACGCTGCGAAAACTGTTCAAGATTCCCAAAAAATATGTATGAAAGAAATCCTCTTTAAATTTGATAAAAAAAATTCCGCGACACTATATGTCTACCTTTAAAGATTAACTTGCAAGAATGAAGGGACCCGAACGACGGTTCCCGAGAGACGGAAAGCGACCGATGGCGAGGTTTTTAAAAACAAATTTGGATAAAAGTATTATACGCGGACGAAGTCGCTGGCACAGCTAGTATTTAATATTTCAAAAAAATTATAATGAATCTTGAAGACGTTTTTTTATTTCGATAATAGTTAAAATTCGATATATATACGGTGTATAATCGCCTCCGTGCTAGAAGGGTCAAATGAGCCCTGGGTTTGAATCTTAACTATTTAGATTAGAATAATATGATGTCGATAAAGAAATATAATATTTTCGTTACAAAAGTAAATTAGTTCGAATCAAAAAACCTAAGTAAACACTTTATCGTTTATATATTTAAAAAGATAATTTATCGTGATTTTTGTTAATTAGCATACTTTCAAATTTATTATAAGTAACTTGAGACTCTTGTTAGGATAATTAACGTTAAAGAGCGACGTTCATGTTTTTCTTTTATTAAATAAAAATGTATCTGTGGGAATTGTTTTTATCTAAATATTTAATATTACAGTGAAAACTTTCTTTAACTACGGCCCGACGTTTCGAATGCTCTTCAAAGTCAGAAGTCAAAAATAAATTAGTAATTTGAACTTTTTTTTTATATCAATAAATGGTAACATGCAGGTCACACTTGAAATAACTATGAAAGTTGTACAACACATAAAATGTGTGCTTAGCTGTAACTTGGATGGTATAGAATTAGTAGTAGGCCGGTGTAGTTTATTAACTTAAAGTTAGTTTATTACTTAAATTTAATGATGACATTAAATATGAACCGAAAGTGTCAGAAGAATAATTTTTAGTTTTGTTACTTCGTCTTAAAAGTATATAAAATATAGATATCGTTTACTTCTTTTAATATAACAAGGAACTAATACTTTACTATATTTGTGAGTTCTTTTGTTTATATTAAATTAAGATTTGACGAGTTATAGACAACGAAATAATACACTTATACGGTTTAAAACATGAAATATGGAAAAAATCTGAATCGCCAGCCGTAATAATAAATAACTAATATACTTCGCGTTTCAAACCGTTAAAGTGTTTTAATGATTTAATAAGGTAATTGAGGCATTTCAAAGGCATTTGTCTCGAAGACAAGTATAGTACACGCGTTATTTAGATTGGATTGTAGCAATGTTGACTTGAAGGAACTTATTGTTTAAGTTAACTTGTATTCCTTTAATTATTAGATACAGCCATTTCTGGTTAGAATATTAATTAAGCACGAAGCCTGTTATGGCATTTGAAGGTAGTCTTCGAAATCTCACAAAGGACACTGCGATATGAATTGAGTATACACTATATTATACTACTTTCTTTAAAATTAGATATTTATTCCGTCGCTTCAAAAACTCAAAAACTTCTGCAATGATTGAAATGAATAACATGATACGTAATCCGCATCAAGGATGGGCTAATATTTTTTTAGCACTGGTCAAATATTCCCTGCAAGAAAGCTGTTTTTTTAACGATCAGCTGTGTACCTGTGACAGCGCCATTACTATAGCGAGTGTTTTCCTAGCCTCCGGCAGATGGCGCGGTGACTCTTTGCTATTTACATGGATAGCTCTGTGTTGTGTTTCCAAGTCAAAGAAAAATTGTTTTTTGTTTTTTATATCTACGAAGAAAATAGAAAAACATTCATATTGTATATGCAAAAGTATTACAAATTTAATTTTATATGAAACTTATTCCTTGTTTTGTTTCTCATCTCTCAACCATTCCATCACGATGTGGGTACCAGCGAAACATAACAGGCACTTAGTTCTTTATAAATTTATTATCCACAAACTATTGCGGCTTTATTTATATAGTTGAATTAAAATGTATGTTTAGTTTATATACATATAAGTGTTCGCGACTTTCGCAATAGGCATGCGATATGCCTTGTATATTTGTGTCTTGTCCGCAGCAAGATGGAATCGAGTTCGTCCGTATGGAACCCTCACGAGGAAAAATATATACTCATGCTTGAGAAGATCCAAAAAGCCTTCCTGCGGTTTCTTTACAAACTTGTATTTGACCTTGTTTTTATTAGGACAGCTTGGTTTTAATTCTCTTGCAAGTCGCAGATCTCGTGGGCAATTAGTTGTAGCTTGTAAGTTGTTTCGAAACCAAATCGATGATTCTTATTTGAGGGAAGCCTTCTGTCGACTGTTTGTACCGAACAGCTATGGCCGCGCTAGAAGACACGATCTCTTTGAGGTCCCGAGAATTCGCACCTCTGCTCCTACGTTTTCGCCGATACCACGAATTTTAACCTCACTCAACGCTCTCTTCAAGTTAAGACCCAAATGTGACCTTTTCGCAGATCAATGGTCCTCAATACTGAGAGAATTGTCTGATTTTAAATTTTTGTCCTAATTGATGCATACTCTATTTTTAAGTGTAATTCTATTGTGAACTTTTATCCAATTAATGTAAGTGGCTATCGCCGTTTTAATTGTTTTATAATAAATAAAAAATAAGTATAATTTTGATGTACAAAAAACAAAGTATACTATTTTACCAATTTTTGTTTCATATAATGTTTATTTTGTTCGTTTAATCAAGTGAAAGACAATATAGGACAAATGGAACCCCACAAGTCCACACCCTAACGTATAAGTTCCGCCTACAAAGCTTTTAGCATCAATGTCGATCATAAATCCATTTTTACTCATCTACCGTTTGGTGGAATAAATTTAAGATTATGTATTGATACGTAAAGTGTTTGGAATGTTTTTATGATAATAAAATATAAAACGTCATTTTTCTGAAACTTAACGATGAATAAAGAATGTTAATATTAAATAAGGAACAACAAGGCTAAAGGTTAATCTTTGCAGGTTTTCAAATAAGATACCTATAGGCTATGACAAACAAGTAATCATTTGAAATCGAAAATAAATTGAAAAAATTTCCGACCCGGGCAGGTCTTGAACCGGCATCGTCAGCGTTCCGCGCTCTACCAATTGAGCTACCGAGTCGAGTTGGTAGAGGAATAGCACGGAACGCTGACGATGCCGGTTCAAGTCCTGCCCGAGTCGACAATTTTTTCAATTTATTTTCGATGTTTAAATTATATAGTGCCTTTATGTGCAATAACATGTAAAAAATATCATTTTTTTTCAAGTAATCATTTATTTAGACGATAAACCAATCGACAAAACAAAAATCATTCATCCTTGAAATAAAATGTTTTGGATGTGTTAATGATTTTTATTTTAGAAATGACTCTAATATAAGTAGTTTTATAATTTATTAATATGGATATTTTACATCTAGTTTCAATTAAATCCTATAGCATACTTCTATTTAACCCATAAAAAGAAATGTTAACTTTTATAAAGGGTTCAACCTTTAGTTTTAACATACACGTATTTTATTAAATTCAATCCGTTCCAATTGATTCCCAAATACAATAACATACCCTTTATTACATCGGCATGGAAGTGTTTCTACCTAAATACATTTTGTATCTCCCGCACATTTGGATTCGTAGCACGTAGCGAGTTCAATAGCATTAATTAAGGGCGCCTAATTGGAGAATATTTTTATAAAGCGTACAGTATACATTTAATTTTCCGTATGTTAGGCGTGGGGCAATTGGTGCAACTGGGGCAACGGGGGCGACACGTTTCTTTGTGTTTTACTTTTTTATAGACAAGTATGCGCACTGCCCGACCGAAACTGTATTTGGTACTCGAAATTTAAAGTAAGGACTTTACATGTGTTACGCGAAGGTAGTAATTTTTACGTATATATTAATTTTATATATTATATTTAAATGTTTAATCTACTTTCTTGTGAATTTTTAAAAACCTGTGCTTAGCGTGACAAGCCTTCAGCAGCGCAGTTGATACTAGGACCGATTGCCATCCTTATCTATTTTATTATCTATCTATTATTGATTTTGTAATTTGTTATAAGTTTTGTAATTTAATAATTAAGTATGTGTTTAAAGGGCAATAAAAAGTTGTAAATTTGAGTTATTATTATTAAAGATGAAAGGCGAAATGTGTGGCACAAACTGGCCTCGAACTAACAGCGTGTTTAATTTCAGCCACTTGGGTGTTCAACTTGTTAATCAATTTCTATTCCAGGCTTTGAGTTCAATTCGTCGATGTTTTCTAAATATTTTTTTTCGTGAATTCGGCATTCGTGTATTCAGGGTCATAAATAAAAACTTTCACATCACATTAACACTTTATTCATGAATCAATTACCAACAGTATCTAAACGAATAAACGTGTATTGTCATGAGAATACAAAAATATATACACGAAAATAAAACGCAGAAGTGTGATTGAGCAATGGCTTAGAAAACATACAGACTTATATACAAATGCTTAACATGCTTATAATTTATCATCACATTCGATACTTTCTGCTATTTCTCGACCGCGTTTACGCGTCTTGAAAGAGTGCGCCGACGTGAAGTTAGACTGTCCTGTAAAAATAAATGAATTAGTAAATACTGTCTATACAAGTATATATAGATACAAGTATTCACTTCGGAGGGATGTAGGTCTAGATTTATTTTTAGAGGAGGACAGACAAGCGTAGCGTTCACTTGATGGTGATATACACCAGCCTATAGCATCTAAACAAGATGCGCTATTGACCTATTTCGGCTTTGGATATTCGGATATCCAGACTGAAACCGAACTTCACGGCTTTTTCATTTGCGAAAGGTGGTTCGTGACCAGGATATAATTACTATATATCCTATCCTATCTATTCGTTTATATCCAGATTACCAGAAGTCCAAAATAAATTGAATAATTAGAAACGTGATGGACCCGGTGGAACCCACAACCCGTTAATTATTGGCCATACATTGCTACCATAAGACCAACGAGCTCATCAAAATAGATAAGGAAGATAATATGCACAGATTAATTAAAAAATGATAAAAGAAAATATGTTTGAAGTGCAATTACAATTAAACAACAATAAGATCTTTATATTATAGAAACATTGAAAACGAAATCAGAAATGTTTCTCGTATTCCGATAAAAATTTATGGTTACATAGTTTTCTGTATTATTTGTTTGAACATTGAATATATAATCAAAAGCTGAAGCCAACCAATCTTTAATAATTATTATTTGTACATCATGATCGATCTATTTTGTCAGTTCAACAAAATCAACATGGGCTGCGACATTTTGTGGAATATTTCATCAACTAGCGAGAAAGAAAAACATCTCGCTTAACCCACAAAAGAATCCTTGTTATTTGTATATCTCATACTGTTGTAGCCTATGGTATTCACGGTTTGACAAGTATTTTCTATTTTGTAGTAACATTGGCTTTTTCTTTTTTTTTGTTCTCGTTCTGCTCTATTACTACGAGGTTAGCATTGTGTACTATACCTCCAAACATGAATTTTGATATAAGCTTTTATTCAAGTGAAGTTTGTCGTTCTTTTCTCCAGTATATAAGTATTATTTTAAGACCATGTTTCCAAGGAACGTTGGAACGTAGGAACGTTGAAGAATCAGAGTATTTGATACAAAACACTTTAACGATGTAAAACGCGATGTATATTAGTTAAAATATTATATTTTAAGTTTAACTCATATATATCCCGTTTTAAGCCGATAAAGTGTTTTATTTAAATGAGTACTACTCGCGTAAACTACAGACAGTAAATGGATGAGTATAATAATAAATTAATTTTAGTTACGTCGAACTTTCTAAAGCACATTTTTAGGAAATTTTATTAAAGCTTACAAAGCTCATATATTTGGAATAGTTAAAAGACAAATAGAAAATAAATAAACATGTAACTTTAATTTTGAACATTTTCAATTTTGAACAACATAGAATTTGTTTCGTTGCCTGTTGTCGGTTTATTTATACAAAGTTACAAATTGGATTCACGTGATTAAAAAGTTTACCGATTCATTCTCGCCTTTATTTTTTTCTTGTTTTCGTTTCTGGTAATCTTATTCTTATTGCGTAAGCAATTTGTAGGCTGTTTGAAAAAATCTAACGTAGACACTAATTAACGTGGGATTAGATTAGTACGATTGTAGCTATTAATTTCAGTAAATATACTGTGTGTATTTCTTTCCGTATATTTTTGACATCCATCTTTGTCTTTTACGCTGAAAGCCATATTTTGATTTATCGTTTACATCTTTCTATCTAATTACAATCATTTCATATCAGAATAATCAGCATGTCTCGAGAAAAAGAATATCTTTACTCGTATGTTAAAACAATATTGGGTTGCCTGGAAGAGATCCCTCTATAGTAATCATATATTTATTTTTCTATTTTAATTTTAAGGAAATATTGATATATACTTTGTGTGTGTTACAATAAAGAGTTGATAAATACATATTCTTATAATACTCTTTACAACGTATATAATCTCATATTCTGTCAAATATGTAGTAGTGTTTTATATTATAAACTAGTTTTCGTCCAAAATTTCGTAAACCATTTATTTATAGCATACATTATATCACTGATGTAGACACTAATAGCGACAAGACTATGAACTGTTTTGACAAGTATGACCTCAAGCAGTAAGTTAAAGACACTTTGTTTTCAGCGTATAAATTAATATTTATTTGCCCCGTTTACAATTTACATACTGAGCATTTCCCCGTATCTAATTAGAATAAAATACGAACCGTTCGGCGTGAGGGAGCGTGAAAAATTGCTCCTTCTTCGGGAGTGTCAAGCTCTTGTGAACGATGACGCTTCACGATAATGCCTGTGACTCGCTGTAAGAAAAAGCAAATGTTATTTACTGCTTCCCCTAAGCCTTTACAAAGGAATCTCGTTTGCACGGTGCTTGTTAATTATTATTCACAGTGGCTGCTTTATAATTCTAATAAGCATAGAATATTCTTTAACACGTAACGCAGTTAGAGATAACAATATCCATATAAAGTAAATATAATACCATTAGTGTATTTTACACCACCCTCATAGCACCGTAGCGGGCTCGTGGTGTGTTTAGTGGTTCTGCACGCCTATTGTGTTCGAGAAGGTTTTAGTACGATTTACCACACCCCTCACGTCACTATTGCCTGGCGTGGCATTAAGCATTCACACCATCAGTTTAAAAAAAAAGTTATTACACCTGCCTTTTCCTCTTGTCACAGAGAAAAATATGTTACTTATACAATTGTAAGGACTGCTTTTTCGATGACACCCAGCTTCAATTGCTGTCAGAGAATGGCCCTGTGTTATTTTGTCTGCGGGAGTTTTTCATATAGCAGGATCCAGTCCGTGTGTATCTCTGACATTATATTTTTCCTAATTCTAATACATTTATTTGCTCATATTTTTTTCCATTATTGATGCGTTTGTTACCAGCTAGCTCATGGCTCCAAAATAAAACACTCAATTCCCATGATCCATGAGGAAAAGCGTTAAATATATCATCAATCATATTATGTATGCGCATAGATCAATCGGAATCTGGAAAACGGAACAGCTTACGAGTCTCATATAATTGTTAACTAGTATATACTCCTTGTGTACACGTAATTAAATTGTTTAATTGACTGTTAACTCTCACGTGCAAACAATTTAAGTTGCCATAGCGTTATATCAGACATATCAGAGTCGAATTGTGCTAGAGATATTTTCATAGTGAAAATGGAAAGAATGTTGCTAAATGGTCTGTGAAGACGATAGAGACAAGCTTTGTGAAAGCAAGTCTTCAAATGTCATTTTCCTTAATGTTAAACTAAAAATAACATTTTTGTGACAAAGGAAGACAAGCACGGGGTACACTTGAAAGTGAAATATCCCAGCAATATAACATCTTAACAAGCTGTGTTGTTCACCTATTATGGCTTTTAGATCCAGAATCCACTGACTGAATCTGTAACGCGATTTAACTACGCAGCTTTTGTATGTCTGCACGGTTCGTAACCGCGATGGAAGTTTTAAAATTCCACCCGTTTTCAGATTGCGAGAAGTCCAACAAGATTCCGAAAATAATGAATGAATTAGAAACATACTGTCTATAGTTTACGCGAGTAGTACACATTTAAATAAAACACTTTAATGGTTTAAATCGCGATATATTAGTTAAACTTCGGGCCGAAGTTAAAAATCATTTGAAATAAGTTTAACTAAGTGTTTATTTAAATAATTAGAAACATTTTGGACCCTATGGGTAACGAACTGACGCGGACGGACGAGTCACAACATATAAAGAGGTGGCGTGAAGAAGGATATCTAAAAACCCGATAGAGACTTTAATCAAAACAGTTAATATTAAAGTATAATGCAAACAAAATTACATAACAGACCTAATTTGAAAATAGGCTCCTAATTTCCTTAATAAGGTAAAGGTTCCGACTTCTATAAAATACAAATTAGAAAATCGGTTGTCGGAAACGATTGTCAATTGGCAACTTATATCCTATCAGAGATTATATGTCTTAGATCCTACTTGAGTTAACAAATCCAAAAAAGTATATCAGCAATCTATATTTACATTTCAACAGATAAGAATTTCACAAAATTTAGTCTCAAGAAAAGATGGGCAAAGTTCTTGCACACTCCGGAATACATCGAATTATTTACCCCGATAAATTCGCGGACATAAAATCAGTTAACAACAACAAAGGGAGAGAATCTGAATGAATCTTCCACATACATCTACATATAAAATGAGATTGAGATATGGAAATTCGTGGCCATATTATATACGATACATAATTTTTGATATAGCATAAAATTAACTTTCTTGTTGGAGACATTTGAGCAGTCACATTTCTTTATTCGTTTCATTGATCTATTGCTTACAAAGAACAGAATTATACTTACATATACGCAGTATTAAAACAAAACACTTTAACGGTTTAAAACCCGATATATACTTGAACTTATTCGAAATTTATTTTATCTACGGCCCGACGTTTAGGCGTGACCACGGCTGCTGCAAAGCATTCTAAACTTAGAATAAGTTGAATATATATCGCGCTTTAAACCGTTAAGGTGTTTTATTTAAATGTATACTACTCGCGTAAACTACAGACTACTCTGTATGTTCAAATGTATTTAGCAAATATGTAAAAAATCCAAAAATGATACTACTGTAAATAAATTTATAGATGGACAGTACAATTATGGTATGTATTGAAACACTTATTTAATATTTAACTTAAACATATATATAAATGCTGGTCTGTAGACTGAATGAAAATGTAAATATTTACAACGACTATCTTACTCTATTTTAAAAAGGGTAGCTCTATACACAAATTTCATTCCGCAAATATTAGATGTAGATGTGGGGTCGGCCTCTGTTTGTACATTCAGTTTGCTATAACATAACTTTCAAAAAATAATATCGTCTATATTTGAGGACTATATTTTGGCCGCAGACGTGATTATACTATGTACATCTTAGTATATAATTTGAGAAGTACAGTACATAATGCGAAACAATATTAAATGGAATTTAAGCGTGAGAGGTCTTAATGTTTCTGAGATATAAAGGTATAGAACTAGGGTACCCCTGCTCATCACAGCTTTTTAAAGATAATATAGTGGACATTTATGCCGCATTGTCAACAGTCATGTGCCATTCGTAATATAATGAAAAGCGATTAGAACGTTTTTTTTCAAACAAAAACATTTTTTCTTACATACGTTTTTACGAACGGCCCACGATAGAACAAATTGCGCACAATACGCTATAACCTTTTTAGGCAATATCTATAAGCAAATCTGTAAAAAATCAATACTTAGTGTGTAGGACATAAATTCTCAATTTTATCACTTCAAATCTCAAAAACAAATGAACACTATACTTTTTCTCTACAGCGCAGGATAACACGAATCAGCACAAAAAATTGCCGTCAAAAAGCGGTGATAATTAATATAAGGTAAACATGAGGTATTTCAGGTCAAAATTTCAGAATTATTTATTTGGGCTTCAATCGAATTCCTATATATCATGAATATATGAACATATGAATTTGACTTTCAACGTCCACATCCACAATTGCGTAGTTTTGCTTATTATCTTTACGATGTGTTCGGCTAAATTAAGTCTGTAGATATTTATTGCTTACCAGAAAAAGATTTGTTCAATTCCAGTTGCTTTCTCATGTCGTCTGGTGTTGTAGTTTTAACGGTTTGACACCAGCAAAGCACTAGTCGGAAATATATCCGAAACCTATAGAAAATACACCTAATTAATCATAAAAATAAATAATTAACCATCTGGGTTTAATTAAAAAAAATATATAGGTGTCGAATAAAATTGTTTCTTGAAATTGTTAAAATTAACGTACTTCAGTAACTATACATTGATTATTATTAACTAAAATATAATTAAATTTATTTTTACGTAATGCGTAGAGTACAACTTTTTTGATGGGTGTTACTCGATTCTTTAAATGCTGAATGACGTCATAATTGCAGCAAGGTTATATATGGCATAGGTAAGTGCTGTTACTCTAACCAATTGATTTACCGTATCCTACACGTCATTGTCAAATTTTTTGAACCCATACATGCACCTCTCGCGCAAGTTCAGTTTATAATCGATTTTGAATTTGTATAGTACCATCAAGTGCAATAACATGTGAAAAATATTAAAGTTTTCAAACAAATAAGTAATAATTTCGTAACACCCTCTATGGGTAAAAGTTACTTGTGAGACAATTATGATCAAAACGGACAAAAACGAATTTATTGGTTTTAATAAAAAAAACAGACATTTTATATAATATTAGGATTTCTTACTTACTTATTACTCATCCAGTAATAAATGAGGGGATTGAACATCGAGTTGGCCATGGCCAACCAATAGAAGGCGAGGTACGTGTGCTGTGCAAATGGCGCGGAGGCGAGGGACTGATGGTGATAAACCAGCACGAAGTATGCGTGGTACGGCAACCAGCATAATGCAAATACCATCACTACCAGCACGAACATTCGGACTACCTGCAAGGATTAAGTTAAGTAGTTAATTACCCACCCCGAGAGAGTTAACCGGGCCTCCCCCTCCCCTGGTGAATTACAATGTTTCTACAGATAATAAATATCGACTTAATTTGTTAAATAAAACGTGTGATAGTTAATTATTGTACTAATATTAACTCGCGTCTAAACGCTATTTAACTTTTAAAAATAAAATATTTAATTCAAATACTTTATACACTCGTCAACTGGTAACGTTTCGCCAAGTCAGCCTAGCTGTTTACAGTCAACTGCACAGGGCAACCGTACACCGTAACTTAATAAATATTTATTAGAAATCATAATGGCATCTGACAAGAGCCCTGAATTGGAAAATTCCCGTTTTCGCAACATTTATCAATCTATACCTACTAATAAAGCTGATGAGTTCGTTTGGAAACATACGGGGAAAATTATTCATCTCTGTGTGTTTCCGATGCATTCGCTGCTAAAACTATGAATCCTATTTAAATTATCTAAAAAATGTCAGCACTATATGTCTATCTATTAATATTAACTTGCAAGAACGACGGGACCCGAATGACGGGACGAGAGCAACGGGACGCGACCGATATCGTGGGTAAGAGCTCTAATTTATAAAGTTAAAGAAGAGGTTTGCAAAAACAAATTTAGATTAAAATAACTATACTACGCGAACGAAGTCGCTGACTCAGCTAGTGTTTATATAAAAAGCGATGTTTTTAAATAAAATAAAAAAATATGTCAGACTTACTAAAAGTTCAACGTACGCACAAGAATATATATTATGTAACGCTTCATGACAAAATATGTCTCTGTTTATGCAAAACTTTTCTATTATAAGTTTTATCGTAGTAACGATAGTAATATTATACTGTAGAGATGAAACAACTTTACTGGCAATTTCTTATACATTATTTGCTGAAAACACTAAGCATTCCCATACTTACAGGCTCGCTATATGAACACAAATTTTATATTAACGTTTAATAATGTGGCTAATAATCAAACGGGTCATTTTCAAAATTATCAATATATATTTTTGTGAAACATGTTAGATTTCGCTTTTCGCGAAACTCTGAATGTTAAATGGGTAACGAACTGAAAAAGCCATCAAGTTAAATCGCGTTTCGGTTTCAGACTATGGATTTCAGAACATCATAAACCAAAATAGGTCAATAACGCATCTTGTTGCCTGAGGTGTTTCCCTCCATCAAATGAACCACGTACTTGTCTGTCCTCAACTATCATAAATACATAATATTTTCCTTGTGGTGGAAAATTAACTTCGTGTAAGTAATGAAAATTATGTATTAAAATTGGGAACATGTGTTTATCAAGATTACTTATTAGGATTTTATAGCAGAAATATTACAAGTGTTTTGGTATAGGAAGTGATGTGTGTTTACAAATTCAAGTTTGCACGCTTTGAAAGTAAGATTAAAATTAATTACGGCACAAGATGCCACTGGAGGTTAAACAGTACCCCATACAAATATTTGTACAAGGCTCGGGGAAGAACGATTAATAATACTGGCGTAACGTATGATTTTACGCGGTACAATTAATGACGCATCTATAAAAGACCGTTACCAACTATATCACTTAAGTTGCAATGACGTTTGACGCTTAATGACGTCACGATGACGAATGACTAAAAAAAATTGAAAGATTTTCATCAGTCATCTACCTCTAGATCTCTCTGCTAGACATGGGTGTACTGTTTATAAGGTACGGTTCTTAAACTATAAGCCCACCAAGCTTATCCAAACCACGTCGGTAAAAAAAATTGTTTATTGTCTCTCTCTATAATAGAATAACAAACTTGTACCTATAAAGGTAGATTAAGTTGTTATAAATAAATTTGTGAACTTATTCGCTAATTTATTTATTACTATTACTTTACGCGTTTTAAACTGTTAAAGTGTTTAATTTTAAATGTGTACTACTCACGCAAATACTTAATGGGCGGTATCTTATAGAAATATGTTTACGTTTTTAACCGTTAACAGTGTTTCATTTGAAAACCCAGCTTTCTTATTTACTTAAAAAATAATAATATTTCGGAGTATTTTCGTCTATGGCTACTTCTCATCTCAAATTATATTAATCTATTATTTTATTTGATACACCTTACAGCGTTTATTGTTTAACATGTAAAATTTATAAGGCAAATAGCCGCCAGTCATTCAGTTCTATCGTAGAGATTAAAGAAAATACGAAATTACATTTACTTTCATGGTAACGAATTTTTAATGCCCACTGAGGAAGAGACCGTTAAATTTGTGCTTAATGTAGGAGTGTGTAGGCGTTCGTTACTTTGCTATAAATAAACTTATAAACATCTCTTGCGATTTGATATGTGTCGTATTAAAATTTATATAATGAAAACGCGTCTGATGATGACTACATGAATATGACTACATTTATTTCAAAATGACACTTGACAGTTTACACAATTGACACCAGATGTCGCCACAATGCTACTTTATTATCTATGTCTATATTCTATGTATTATTTCTATTTTGATATCACTTTATAACAATTTATTTCGGCTTAAGAAACCGTACCCAATACATATCTTAAGATATAAAAGAAAATTATCTTCCCTCGAACATTTGTGAACGTGACATTAAATATTTATTTTATCTTGATTGATTTGATCACTAGTAATCAAAATAGAGTGTCAAGGGGAAAAATAATAAAATATTCAACGCAAGTAGCTCAGTAAAGATGTAACTTTTTATATAAACTGTTACGTGAATCAGGGTTCTAAAAATAACTCGTAACGATATTTTGTTACTTTTAAAAGTCCCAATAAGTTTAGTTATTCTTTAAAGTTACAATTTTAAAATAAACTTCAGTTCAAAGTTAAAAATATCATTAGATAATATATTTTTTTGTAAAAGAAATCGTATCATCAAGACACAAAAAAGGTTTTGGGATAGTTATAAAAAGGCTTTATTATGTTACATATTTTTAGATTTAAGTTGTTATTCTTTGTGGTATTTATTGTGTATAGTTATATAAAACTCTCAAACGGTTTAAAACGCGATATATATTAGTTAAATTAATTTGAAAATGATTTTAACTAAGTCTCCCCGTTACCACCGCTGCTGCGAAGCATTCGAAACGTCGGACCGTAGTAAAAATAATTTTCAAATCAGTATAACTAATATATATCGCGTTTTAAGCCATTACGGTGTTTTCTTTAAATATGTACTACTCGTGTAGTACAGACAGTATTTATTGTGTTTAAAATTACCTTTTTCTTAGCTCTGACGACCTGCATTTGATGATGAGTACACTCCCCAATTGTTCTTCCACGAAGGACGGAACTCATTCTAGCGTAGGCCCACACCATGACCGACATTGGTAGTACATACGTCACCCCCAGGAACACCAGATTATAGCTGCAAGAAAATTAAATTTAAATCTGAAATGTATTAGGGATCTATTGTGTTTCGACCCGGCTCCGAAAATACCTCTAATAATAAAATTATACATTTTTGGTGACAATTTCGACTATGATAATTTTTATGTAGGTGTAATGAACATCGTAAAAATACCGACACGTCGGGCCGTAGTTAAAATAAATTGAAAATGGGTTACCTTAAAAGTCGATTTTATATTTAAAAAAACTTCAATGACACGGACGGGACCTGAACTGGCATCCAGCGTTACATGCTGTAGCTCTAACCACTCGAGCTATTGAGCAATGGATTGATAGAGTTCGAATCCCGCTCGTGTCGTAAATATTTTTTTATTGTAAAATCGGTTTTCAATGTATATAATGCGATCATGTCACCCATATGAAAAACATTTAAGTTTATTTAATTAAGTCCTGCCCGAGTCTAAATTTTTTTCAATTTGTTTTCGATTATAAATTATATATTGCCTTCATGCGCAACAACATGTAAAAAAATAAGTTTTCAATAAGGTACCTGTTATATTCCGAGTTTTAAACCGTTAAAATGTTTTATTCAAGTGTACTCGCTTACAATACTAAAACTTAAATTATACACACGTCTCCAAAATTGGTCATTTCAGTATGTATTCAGGATTTACTAGTCTTTGCACAATTAATAAGAAACGTTTCAACTGTTAAAGCTTTCAACATGAATGCTGAAACTGCAGAATTTAACTTCGAAATATCACGAACGACTAACTCACTGAAATTATAATAAGCTCTATACGTTAATGATCAAAATAATTGACTAACTAGAGAACCGACTCACACAAATTGAATATCAATCAGATTCGATCCAATTCAAATTGAATACAATAACATCGACATAAGCCGCGTTTTGTCCTTTTTGATAAATTGCCGTCAATAGAATTTCACTTTTGTCTTGCCATACAAGTGAAGGCCCACGCCATACGAACCACATATTTACTGAAAGGAATAAGTAATAGCGCTACTTATAAAAGGTTTATTCTGTATCGAAGTTCTTTCACGTCGCAATACGCTTCAGTGTTTTCAAAAGGGTTCGACTTTTCATATAATGGCGCGGTGTAGCTGCAAACGAAGTATTAGTGGAAATCTTTGTGAGTGATACACGCGATTTGGTTTTCTAGTTATAAGTACAGAGAAAAGGCTTTTATTCACAGTATTGGTGTCCGTGACTCGATTTTTCAAACTGTTAAATGCGAGAAATCCTGATTTCGATCTTCAAAGTACCGCGGTACAAAGTACAACAAAGTAGTTTTGGTCGAGTACAGTACAGTTTAATGTTTGTAAATAAAATATATATAAAGCTGAAGAATTTGTCAGTACGTTCGAACGCGCTAATCGCAGGAACTACGTGTTACTGATAAAACGGACACAGAAATTAACACTTCACTAGTAAAAAAGTACAAAGTCGCTTTTTGTGTCCTCATGTCCGCTTTAATCCCCGTTTCGGATCCGTGGGCCTTGTTCAAGGGCCCACTAAGAATAAATTTAACTATTTTTTAAATCGAAAATAAATTGAAAAAATCATTTTTCGAGTCGGGCAGGACTTGAACCGGCATCGTCAGTGTTCCGTGCTGTTGCTCTATCGATTGAGTGAATCGTGTCGAAAATTGTTTTCAATTTATTTTTTAATTTTTAAATTATATTGTGCCTCCATGTGCAAATAACATGTAAAACATAATTTTTTTTTAACTATTTTATTTTGCGGTTTTAAACCGTTAAAGTGTTTTATTTAAATGTGTACTACTCGCGTAAACTATAGACAGTATTTAGTCAATAAGTTAATTAATATATTTCTAGTTTTTAAACCGTTAATAGTGTTTTAGTTAAATGTGTACTAACCGCGTAAACTACAGAAATGAACACGCCTCATTTTACAAGTAGATAATAGGGATTACACTTCATGGCTGTTAGAGTATCGGAAAATGTAATTTCACACTAAGGAGCAAATACATTGGGTTAGGTCGTCTGGAATAATTAATTTCGATTCCTTGGACCTCCCTCCAATCTCGCTGTATTATATACATAATATAAGCGATACTAATTAAGAATATTAAATTGAAACGGGCTTATGCTTAGGCAATTTAGGCTTACATAGTTTTCACAATTTATCTAAATATAGGTTCTATTTCTTATTGGTAACTTTAATGAGTGAGTAGAATCTTACAGTGACACTTTGATTAGGTTTTAATAAACTATGTTTAATTTCTTGTTTTCGTGTAGGTAATTAATAAAGCGGTCGTTGTAAGCGTAGATATTAATTTTCATACTGTCTATAGTTTACGCGAGTAGTACACATTTAAATAAAACACTTTAACGGTTTAAAACGCGATATATTAGTTAAACTTGTTTGAAAATGATTTTTAACTTCGGCCCGACGTTACGGATGCTTTGCAGCAGCTGTGGTCACAGTTTTGGACATGTTGGACTTTGTCTGGAAATCTGGATATTAAATGGATGGTAAGATTATCGAAATTCCATCCGGATCGCGTCCACTGATGAAAAATCAGAGAAACTTAATCGCGATTTGGTTCCAATTCCAAGTTTCCAATGTCCAAATGTCCAAAGCCAAAATAGGTCGACAACTCATTTTGCTTAGATGTTATATGGCTGGGGTATTTATCTCCCATCGAGTGACACCCATGTCTGTCCTCCTCTATATTTAAAAAAACTCAGAAGGCACTTGATGCTGCAACAAATGTATCTCTGTCATCTACTAAGCCAAAATTATTGTCTACGCGAGTCCTTTTCTTCCTAAAAAAGGCTAATATCTCGTTTAGGCACAAGGCCGTTTCAAGGTTTCCAAGTTCCAATAACGGTTAACGACTTCCGGCCAGGGTGAAACAGGATACCAAAGGTTTTAAATGTCTTCTTAAAGATTAACATCGATCATGAACAACATAAAATCTGATAAGTTTTAATAAACTTACTATAATTATGTTATGTTTCTGTGATAAAATATAGAAATGTAGTAATGATAAAAAAACAGAATTTACCTAGAGAATCACGTAAAATAGTAACTTCCAAGCGATGTTTGTAAGAAATACTTGTTTGGGACTGCACTACAATTTAATGAAAATCGTTTTTGATTTGAAGCCTAAAGTCATACAAGAAATAACTTCTAGTTCAACTCAATGTTATATTATTATTTAATGTTACTGTGCATCTTTTGAATGACATCTCATTAAAAAATAACTTCTCTAAGAAACTTAGACACACACAAACACAAAAAACAAATGAAGTCGGAAAGTTAAAAATATGTTGCTTTTTAAGCTCTACTTATGTTTTATTTAATTTGTACTCGTTTATATTATAAAAATAAAATATATGCTCAAATAAAAGCTATTTAAATTCTTAAAGATCTTACCAATAATCTGTTCTAGAAGTCGGGTAACTTCCATCCGGCCATTTCATGAAGCAAATTTCGCGTTCTCCATTTATGTACCTAAAAAGAAAATTTTAATCACTAAGTTATCTCCAAAGGAGCAAATACTTCTCACCTTCAAATCAAAGTACAATAAGAATTAATCAGTGTCTAAAGACCGTGCTGTCAGATTTTTACCCGGTTGAGATTCCCTGTCTTAGAAAGCTTACGTAAGTCAAGATTTGTCCCAATAGACTTTTTAATTCCACGTCACTGTTGGACGAACCTATCTTAATTAAGTTAAACATTTAAAAGAGCCCTCGTGTTCCTAAAGTATTCTTGACGAAATAATCTTCTGAAGAATCAAAGCACTTAAATTAAGATTTTTACGGAAACTCTTCTCTGTTCACTAAAGAGCTTAAAAGTTAATTTAGATTAAATAAGAAAATTACATAAAAAAGTAAATATAAAAGTAGTTTTATATTATACTATTATAGTTGATCCGGTCAAGGTTTTGTAGTTTATATCCTATGTTGATACAATTCTAATAATCTATACTAATATATAAAGCTGAAGATTTTGTTTCTTTGTTTGTTTGAACGCGCTAATCTCAGGAAGTACTGGTTCGAATTTAAAAATTGTTTTTGTGTCGGTTAGAACATTTATCAAGAAAGGCTAGGTTGTAGGTTGTAACACATTGCGATGTGACAAATGGGAGCGAAGATACACCGAGAAATGTGAACAAAACGGGGGAAATTTTTCATCTCTGTAAATTTCAGACGCGTACGCTGCGAAAAAGGTTAAAGATATAGGTATCTTTAACCTTTACAATTGTATATGAAAGAATGATTCCCCTTTAAATGATCTTAAAAAGTTCGACGTTATATGTCTATCTTTTAAGATTAACTTGCAAGAACGACCCGAACGACGGGACGCGCACGACGGGATACGAAAATCGTAGGTAACAACTATCTACACTAATGTTATAAAAAATTGTATTTTTGTATGTAACGGATAAACTCAAAAAGTACTGGACCGATTTTAATAATTCTTTTTTATTTAGAAAGCTACATTATCACTGAATAAAATCGACCATACTTAGTACTAGATTCAAAGAGAAATCTTTAGACATTTCTATTAAAAGCAACGGGAGGTATAAAAAAATTAGTTCTTTTCAGAACTTATCCCTTTGAACTTGAATATTTTCTTTTACATTATTATGAGTTTATTCCTAATTTCTAAATATGCCTAGCAGAAGAAGGCAGCTATCTAAGAATAGTTCCCACGTAACGCAAGTTCTCAAAAATGAATGATTTCATTTTAGAGGAGTGAAAAAACCGGAAAATGTGGAAACCTATTTTCCAAATTTTCCGGTGTTTCTTCACTCCTTTCGGCCACAGCGTGATGTTATATAGCTTAAAACCTTGACATATAAATGGTCTATCCCACACAAATATTTTTTTTAATTTTAGCTAGTAGTTTTTGAGATTAGCGTATTTAAACAAACAAATTCTTCAGCTTTATAGATGATAAAAGTATAAACTACAATATCAAATTATCAGTTTTACAAAACTTGTACACAAGCTGAAGGCTCGACTGTAATATTTACAAAAGTTGAATAAAGCCACAATTTACATGGATTAAACGGAGGTTCGAAATTATCATGTAATGGCAACCTTGGAAATAATGAATACAGATAATACTTTACCTATACTTATAAACACAGGTTAAAACTCAGAGCAAATTAAAATTCGACCCCTTTAATAGCTATGTTAATTATTCTACTTCGCTGGCATATAAATATCACAATTAAAACTTCTGTAGAACCTCGGTTTAGGCCGTTAATTATAATTTATAATAAGCACAAGTTAATCTCATTAGCAGGTGTTACAATATCTAGTTGATGTATATGGAATAACAAAATTGATGTAATCTATTCAAAATTTGTTCGGAATGAGGTACAAACTTAATATCTCTGTTAAAGATAGGATAAACAATAATATAGGCTTAGTATAATCGGGTTCAGAAGTTATAGAAAATGTTGTGATAATTAATTCTCTGCAAAATCAGACACAGACAATACGAACGTACCTTGAAATAGATAAAACAGTTTGGTAACATTAAACCATTGTTATTTAAATGATATTTCATTGTCATATTTTATATCAAAGGAAAATCTTTGATCTCATTTTTACAAATGTAATAAGATAAAAACCGGGGTAAAATTTCCTTGCTGTATTTAGATTTTTATTATCGTAAAAATGTAATAAACCACATTTTTTACAACATTGTTCTACCAGAACTTTTAGAATTGCGTTGAAGATGCTGTTATTTTCATCTCAAACCATAAAGTATTATCAATAAATCTATAGTAATATAAAAGCTGAAGAGTTTGCTTGTTAGTTTGAACGCGCTCATTAAAGAAACTACTGGTTAAAATTACAAACTTCTTATTGTGTTGGTTAGAGCATTTATAGAGGAAGGCTATAGGCTAAAACATCACGCTGCGACTAATGCACTAATGCTAATAGGTGCGAAGAAACAGCAGAAAATCCCGGGGAAAAAAATCATTCTTGTGAGTTTCCGTTACGTAAAGAAAGATCCCTATTTAAAATATGTAAAAAAATGTCCGCGACGGTGTTTGTCTATATTTTAAGATTAACTTAACACTTGACAGTATAGTTCTATCAAAATAACTAATCTACGCGGACGAAGTCGCTGACACAGCTAGTTTTTTAAAAACATTGTTCTGATTACTTTTTACAACTGTGTAAAAGATGGTGTTATTTTTATCTGAAAACTTAAACAAATCTTATAAATAAATTATTAATACAAAGACACACGTACACACCTTGATGTAAATAAAACAAAAGAAGAAATAATTTCTACGCTTTGTGCTATACTCGTCATCCAATTAGTCTCTTGCTGAGCGCTGATTTTCATCTCGACCTAACGTTTCGGATGGTTTTTAGCAACCGTGGTTTACCATTAGCGTAAACTACAGACCTCCTTAATTGTTATAATTATGTAAAATATGATTGTGGCTATTATAGATAATATTTCACTTAAATTGATAGTTATATTAAATTAATAGGCTACCTGGTATACAGGGCTGATTTTGCTACGTTAACTATAAGCTTTTTGTGTAGCCCATACTTAGTATATATATTTTATATCGAGTATCATGTTCTAGATTAAGTTATTGTTAGGATTTAATTAAAACCTTGGAAGCAACTTTATTATGAAAATTTAATCTTTTTTTTTCTAGTTTCATATGAAGTTTAAATTAATTACTTACTTCTTCTTATAAGTATCAGAGTAGAGAAGGCTGGGTAGAGCTAAGAGAGCACTCGCAAACCAAACAGTGAACAGCGCTGCCCGTGCGACTCGGCGGCTTAGTCTGTGTTGTAGAGGTTTCACTATCGCTACATACCTGAAAAACAATATATCTTTATCGGGAGCTCACTTCTCATAAATATTTAGATAGTATGTGTTATTATTTATAAAGGAGGATAGACAGGCTTTAAATATTCGAAATCCACAGACTGAAGCCGAATCGCGATGAAGCTTAGTGACTTTTTATATGTGGAAGGTTTGTGACTCGGACGGAATTTAGACCGCTCATATAATATCCAGATTTCCAGACAAAGTCCATTCCAGTCCATTATACTTTAAAAAAAATTGTTTAGAAAACTGTTGGATCTGATGGCAATTGAACCCACGACCCGTCAATGATTAGTCATACATTGCTACTATTGCACCAATAATTCCGTCAAAATGCGTTTTATATTATAATGAAAAAGACACATTTATCGTATCATAATTAATGAGAAGTTGAGTAGTGGCTTTGTTGTCACCGTTTCAAACCCAAACGGGCGAACTAAATGATTTCATTTCAATAGAAACTTAGTGTCTATGTAGCTGACTTCAATAAAAACAAACGGAGGTAAAAATTTTGGACCTATTTACTTGTGCTTACCAATAAAAAACAGGTTTATTGTGCCTGCGTAAGGTATATTTCCAGTACTGATAGTAAATCAGAGAAAATGAGCATGGTTCTGGGTCAAAGTGTAGTCAATCGTAGACGCTTTATTTTAGGGTAAAAGGTTAATGCAGTTTGTCCTAGGTCATTTAGAAGCCCTAAACTTCAATACAGATATAGATTTGCCTTATAAACATTTTAGTTTATTTTTTAGCTGGTGTCTTAGTGTGCGCTAAACAGTCGATGAACTGTATATGATTATTTTTCGGGTTATTCGTCATTACGAGTGGACGGCATCATATTATCAGGACATGTTAGCTCCTCAATTGCATAATTCTTCCATCAATTGAGGACCTAACATCTGATGATGCCGTCCACTCGTGATGGCTAAAGGTTTCTCGACGTCTCGCTCTCCTCTTCTCGCTTAAGTCAGCTGAAAAACAATGATATGCTGAACGATAGCCGTGAAAGCATTACACAATTTGTTAGCCGATGAATTGTTATTAGAAACGATCCCCCCTATAATACGTTTGTATTAATTAGATAGACAGTGTCTAACATAAACAGCGATTAGACTAATCGGTCACTCTAGGGAAATTAGTGGCTATTACACAAGCATGCCTTTGTATAAAACATTAATTTGTTCTTTGTAATGTATAGAAAATGTAATTTAAAATTGTGAAAAAGAACCAATATTGCTCATATAAAAATGTACTCACGTTTAATATAGAAAGTGAGAATATAAATATTCCTTTGTTGTCACAATAATTCTCAATAGATCTATTTTAATAGCTGTTTTAATTTTGGGTATTTGGGTTGGGTATTTCATCGTTGTTATTAATTATACTTTGCTAAGTGGGCGGTATTCATTAGACAAGAAAAATATTATTTGTTATAACACTTTTTGCGATTAATACGCCATGGGCGCGTAGAATTAAAACTTATAAACCAATTTAAGAAAATATATATAGGACACTTATTACAAATAACAAAGAAGTGATCGCAAGAAAAAGCCCTAATTTCAGCGTTTAATTTCCAAATCAACCGCACCTGTTCCAAAGGCATCTGGCTGAGGGAAAAACATCAAATAAAAGTGATATAATGAGAAGATCAAAATAACGTTGGCGGTAAGACATAATGTAATTATTACGTAATATTAGTCACTTTGAATATAATAGTAGTTCATACGGGTATATAAGACCAATTTCATTTATAGTTTAATATGTTGCGACTAGATATGTTGATTTTTTGAGTTGAGTTGAGTATACCTAATACCAGTATAGAGTATACAATTTTACAGATATAACGTTTAATTAACCGGGTTAGGCTAAAACAGCTGTAAATAACAATAATTTTATTATAATTATTGACAAAAATTATATACATTTTCACTGTACGCAATCTATGGAAGGGAGAAAAATGCTAAGAGCTGCATATTTTTTTAAATGATAGTATAAGACAGACATATAAGCATGAGGTGCACTTCGCACGCTTAGTATTACAGTGACCTATTGAATTAAAAATACACTTTTTTTGGCAAATCGTATAAAACTATGACGATGGCGTTATTATAGTAATGTCAGTGCATTTATCTAATTTTACTTAAATTTTGAGTTTGGTCACTCTAATACTAAGCGTGCGACTTGATAGTACTCGTAGGTGATATACCGCAGGCTATAGCATCTAAAAAGATACGCTGTCGTCCTATTTGGATATTCGAAAATCCACAGACCGAAACACGATTAAGCTTCACGGCTTTTTCAGCTGTGGACAGTGGATTGTGACCCGGACGGAATTTCTATATTCTTATTAATATCCACATATAATCCAACCATTTAATAAATAAAATATGGATAATATTTTAAAACAAAAACAACAAATTACAAATTAAAAACATGTTGGTCCCGGTGGGGATCGAATCCACAATCCGTTGATTATTTCTTCATAGAAAAGCATGCGAATTGAAACTAGACCATAAATAAGAAAATGTATGTTACGTATGAACATATAACTTAGACACCAGATTAGATTTAGGCTTTTCCATCGAGACTAGAGAAAATATCGATATTGAGTAAGCTATGAATACCTAAGTAACTAGTACCTAGAGCAATTCCCATAGGCTACAAGAGAGATAATTCTAAAAAATATGTTTCGTATCGGAGCACATTGTTTAGTAGAACTTTATTTTATACTACAATGTTGTAGTATTATAATGTTTTGTTCAGAGTTTCTAACTATTTTATTTTTATTGTTTTTGTTCAAGAGCTCATTACTTACTGAATTATAAGTAAAAGGTCACTAAGAAACTACAAGTTCGGTGGATGGAACATACATACATATTTTTACTTAATTTAGTTCGTTCAATGGACTACATCAGCCCAATCAAAATTAAATGGTTAGGGTGTTGACAAATGACACATGACGTAAATACTGGGTTCCAAGTTATGCCGGTCACAATGTTTTTATCGTGACCGGCTTAACTTGGATAGGTTTTATTTACCCTTACCCTAATGGGTAAATGGCACACACAGATTATAGTACATACATACATAAAGTAATAAATTCCAGACTCGCAGTTGTGATGAGATCCATAAGGCTCTGAAACTATATTGATCAATACATCGGTGTAAAATTTCTTTATTTTGTATATTTTATTTTATTCCAAATGTCACCCTTTTCAATCGCAATAAAATTATTAATTAACCTTGTAAATAACAGCAGTAAAAGGGTAATAATATTTCTAAATACTAACGGTCTGTAGAGTCGTAACAATAAACACTAACCAATTGTAGTAGACAAAGTACTTCAGTTAATTATTTGGTATCGAGATAAGGGAGAGGTCGTTAAATTTAAGATCTAGTCTAAACGAAAGTCATTTAGGTTAACATCAAAGACCTAACGTTTTAATCATCATGAACGAGAGTATTTTTTATGATAGAGAACAACAGATATTTGTTTTAATGATAGATGAAAACAGCCAAGCATGGATTTACTTGATGGTAGGTGGACTTATAGCATCTAAACAAGACGCGCTGTCAACCCGTTTCGGCGTTGGATATTCGGATATCCATAGACTAAAACCGATTAAACTTTACGGCTTTATCATCTGTGGACGGTTATCACCCACCTATCATTGGTTGGTTATTAGCAATACATTGATACCATTAGGTCATGCTAACAAACACGTCAATTGCTTTGACTACGTCCGTAGTTCAATCTCGTGTTTTCCAAATCTAGGACTGATTGTAACTCATAATCAACTTATTTATGCAAATAAAGTCGATCATTGAAGCGGACATAGGAATATGTCTGCTCCTTGCATCCTGTTTATTTTAATTCAGTATAAGGGAAATGAAATTTCAGTTTTTCAAAGTGTTATTTTATGCCTGCGTTGACAATTTTAATTAAAAACGTAGGTACTCCATTATTGTTTATGTGCCGCGTCTCTCAGTGGTAATATGATATTTCGTGGTAATAAAACTTCGGTTTTTAGGCTCCCTTTAGGTTTATAGCTTCTATTATTAGCCGACCTTTAAAGCTTTTTAATAACATTAGTAATTCACATATTGGTGGTCTTATTGCAATTCATATATTGTGAATTTGCAAAAAAGGTAAGACAGTTATTCAAATTAATGAATAAACTGCGCATTTTTACCAATTTTAATCATATCATATTTAAATACTGTCTGTTAATTACGCGAGTACTTATTTAAAAAAAACATTTTGACGGTTTAAAACGCGATATTACTTAAACTTATTTGAAAATTATTTTAACTACGGCCCGACATTTCGAGTCTCGCCGTGATCATGGCTGCTGCAAAGCATCCGATGTCACGCGGAGACTCAACTATATATGTATTTAACTAATATATTATATTAAAGTTATAATATATACATTAAAGTTAAAGTTAAAACATATCCACATTTCACCACAATCTCAGATTCCCATGTTTTTCACGATAAAGACAACGATAGTGTCTCATTATGTCTAGTCAAATAAGCGAAAGCAATAAATGAATTGATTTTTAAGAAAACTGATTGTTTTTACCTGTCTACTGTAATGGCTACGAGGGTAAATACACCAGCAGAAACAGTGAGGTTCGCCGTAAAGTTGCTCGCTGTACATGTGACTGCGCCGAAGGGCCAATGCGCTGTCACAAGGAACACGAAGTTCGGAGCTCCATTCAAAGTTGCCATGAGGAGATCAGCCACTGCTAGGTTCACGAGGAAGCAGTTTGTGACTGTCCTCATCCGCCGGTGAGCTAGCAATATAGATACGTTATTAATTTTATTGATTTTACACATACAACGTACAATTTGAACCAGTGGCGGCTGGGCCAAAATACTTTTAAGTGCCTAATCCGAGAACACAATTCAGATTTTTTTTTCAAAATTGAAATACTTCATTTCCTTTTTTTAAATGCTGAAATAGATATGTTATAGTTCTATTTGTAACACACCTACCTCAGCAGCGATGGTTTAAATGATTTAATGATATTTATAGCATATAATACATCAAGTTGTCGAGAAATTAAACAACTGCGTAACTATTTTACAGATGAGGTTATTATTTAATAAATCGGACATTGAGACTTAATAATACGTCAGTTTTAAACTGTAGTGATTATATGAATCACCTATAAAGCAAAATCACAGAAATAATCAGTTTCATCGAATTTTCATGTTTAATTAGATACACTGCGTTACCTATGTTAAATATTAAAACTTAAACTTTTCCATAAATTACAAAAATAAACTTAAAATTAATTCCAATTGACAACATAGTATTGTTCTTGTCATAAATAGTACGTACGTATAAATTTAAGACATTTTTGACAATAAGAGTCCTTTGTATAATTAAAGATACAATAAAAACAAGAGGGACACAAAAGTAACGCAGTATTAATCTTCGTAACACAGTAGTATTTTTTAAATACTATACTTTGTAGTTTTAATAGAGATCTTTATAACAAAACAATTTTAACTGTTCATGACTCGACATAAAATTAAGTACCTCAAGTAACATAAAACGTTTGCCTACGTCAATATTTGTTAAGAATTAATATACCTTAATGAGAAAATCAACTGTATAAACTAACGAGGCACTATATCTTCAGTTTCTCTTCAGAAAATTTTTGGCTTGTCATAATTGAAGTATAATCTTTTACCTTTCACGACAACTTTGGGGTTAGGGACAATTTCTACAATGTTTTCGTATGGTTTGTAAGATATATCGGTATCTACTGCTTTGAATCTTTGCCATTTGCCAGTGTCGTCAATTGTCTTGTAAAACATAATTTTGACGTCCCCTTCTTCATCAACTTTACTTTTAACAACACCAAGGAAAGTATATTATTTTTCCTTAACATAAGTAACTTTTACTAAAACATGGACACCTTCATATATCTTCGTAGGATGAACATTTTCCTTTTCAATTTGCTGTATTTCACGTGCGTGTTCCTGTACGTTAGATGTTGACACTTAGCACAAGCTTGATAAGGGCTTCTCGTCAGAGCTAGAAGACGAATAATAAACTTCTAATAAATCTTGTAATACGTACCTTAAAGGTACGGCAACAATATTAGTAATGTCATCAAGGACTATATCATTATCCGATTCATCAAATGGAACGTCTTCTTTACGTGTGTCAATGATGGGATATGTTTGTATGCAGGCTGATATGTTTTTGGATTCATGCACTAAGAAAAACCCCTCTTGCAAAAACAACTAAGGTCTCTTTAGCGAAGTTCACCCAAAGTGTGAGTAAAAACCTGATGTATTGCATCGTACCCTGAAGTGGCACTAGACTTTCAGGTAGTGTTTTTTCAACGTTATGAATATCACTGTCAGTCAGTGTCACCAAGTAAAAACGGACCTTGCTCAAGTCTTTTAGGGTGTCAAAAAAATCTTCTGCATTAGAAATATTTGAACTAACAGCAACTTTTTTATCTGCAATGCATTTGAGATAGCCGCCAACACCATCAGCAGCCCCTTTGCCATGCCCAGCTTCAAAGAAATTCCATGTAACGCGTATGATCTTTTACTCAGTGAATATTCCGTGACTAATGAAATAAAAATTTTGCTTCTGTCGATACTGAGTAGGTCCATCGGAGAAAAAATGAATTGTAGTTATGTTAGGATTGTTATGTTGTATGTCACTAATTATTGGATGTAAGTGTGCCCAGATAGAGGCTGGATTATTAGAATTATTTGCAGATATGGTACGAAATTCTCATAATCCAGCTTCAGCATTTTTTACCGGGTCTTGTTTCAATTTTTATCTATAGCGATGTTGTTTTTCTGCGTTTGTCAGCGCCATTTAGGACAGAAACTTCTTTCTGAGAAAAAAATATACAATTTTCCTATAGCTATATCGGATTTAATTACGTATACTGTTTATAAGTAACAAAAATACAACTACGTTATCTATCTAACTACTGCGCTACATTTTTTTTGGAACGCAGTGTAGCAGTTACGCAGTTGTAAATATTTGACTAAATTGTAAATAATTTCCAAATCAAATAATAAAATCCAGATATTTTTACACTCACGGTTGCAGTACATACCTAAATGCGTAATAAAACAATAATAACGTGAAATATCGTTAGGACGTAAAATTAACAGCGGTAACTCAGCAGACAGACAATAGATACACGCACCTCCTTCACGGACCGGGACGCGACCAGCACGGCGAGAGTACTGTCCCCGCGCTGTTGCTGTCGTTTGTTAAACGAGTTACTACAAATCGAACCAAATAATGTGCAAGTAACCTTAATCCAATCATTTTAAAGTCTTTTTTCATACAGTAACGCAAGGTAGCTACGATATTGTTACTCGTTGGGGACACAGATACATTATTTTTTTATTTTACTAAATGTTCAATTTAAAACGTTTCTAATGCCATTCTAATAACGTCCAAACCTTGCATTTTTATTATACCATCTATAATTAACCGCCATCTAGGAAATATTTTGAGAAATTGTTCCGTATAGTTTGGCACACATGCTCAGGGACATAGATATTTAGTATGAAAAACGGCTGCGTTACTAAAAATGGCAACTTTGTTACTGTAAATTTTCAATTAATAACAATTATTTCAGTTCAAATCATGTGTTTTGTATTAGATAATAATGTTAAATTTTAAAATAATTATACTATTGTCACATTTTTTTAACCCACTCGCATTAAATGTAATGTTAATTCCAGGGACTGGTTTTTAGGCATCAAAAAGTATTTTGGCCCGGCTGGTGGGTTATTGAATTGGTGCACTTTACTTACTTACCAAATATTAAAATTAGGAAGTTTAACAAAACAACAATTGACGTAAAACATGGTTATTTTTAAACTTTAATAAATCAGTTTTAGATTAATTTCTGGGTATATTTTTATGAACTAGCTTTTGTTTCACGCGTCAGGCGTTTTGACTCTCACTTTGTACCTCCATAATTGGAAATGTATTCTTTATTCGTAATTATATGTCTGAATTTTAAATATCAAAATGGTAATTTAAAAATAAAGTTTAGGTAATATTTTGTAATCTTTAAGTCTTGAATTTGTGGTTCAGCGCACAAGCGCATTTAAGGTACAGCTGCCACTGAATCGAACTGAAGACTAACTAGCACGATAGCTTAGAAGCAAACGAGGCTACGAGCTCGAGAGGCACCGGTGTTTTTCAAATATGTAAATATTTTATATGTAACTTTTGACAGGATGATTGGAGTAATGGTAGCCATGCCTGGCCAATAATAATCAACGGTACGTGGGTTGGATTCCCACCGGATCTAACATGTCAATCAATTTAAAATGTTTCTGAAATATCAAAATTCCATTCGGATCACGAATCACCGTCAACCGATGAAAAATTCGTGGAGTTTAATCGCGTTGGTTTTAGTGCGTGATTTTCGAACATCCAAATAGAAGTAGTCGGAATAGTTCGGCAGCACATCTTATCAAGATGTTATGTGGCTGGGGTATTCCACCTATCATCAAGCGAATCCTTTATCATAAAAAATCTGCAAAGTATCCCTTATTAAAATATACATTGTATTCTTATAAAATCTTATATGTTGGTGAATTATAATATGGCTGTATGTATTTAAATAAATATTATAAATGTAGATTTAAAACATACTGCACTCCTTTAAATTATAAGCTAGTACTTACATCCTTAAGTCTTTATTATTGTGAACCATTCCTGTGGTGTTTGTGATTAAGAAAGTTTAATAAATGAATACTTCAAGTTAAAAAAAACTAAACAACTGTGTCTATGGACACATACCTGACAAGGTATGTATACATATAACGTAAGTACTGAATATTTGAAATCTTCGTTCGAAACGAGACCTATTAATCATTATATAATATGATAATGCTCATAAATCTCTTTGGAACTGCGACGGATTATGTATTAATTGGCCTATTTACGTAAACTATCTAAAACTCCTGAGCTTAACATAAGATGAAGATTAGTGCCATTGAAGCGAAATAGTTCTTGACACTGAGAACTCCTTATCAACGGTTTTAAACCTTCTATAACAAAAGCTACAGATGGCAGCACTGCAAACTAATTTCCAAGTAAAGTTCGACTACATTTTATGCCCGCCTAATGGATTCATCTACATTCCACGATTCGAGGAAAATCTTGGTTGAATTCGAGAGGTTTGATTCAAATATTTTTTAATTAAATTTTTACACTTAAATTGTAAAAGATAAAAACGTTGTTGTATGTTACGTCTTCTGTTTAATATAAATGTCATGTAATGTAATTTTTTAAGTAGATAAAACTTTTTAACGGTTCAAAATGTGAAATATATTAATTTATGTTCAGTTTACTCTAACTACGGTCGGATGTTTATATTTTGCAGTTTGAAATATTTCATAATATTTTTGTAGATTTATTCTGCACAGCTTCATAACACGCTATAATAATCGTATATCGCTAGATATCGATAGTAATATACACTCTCGCCTAAACTAGGTAAGTCTATAAACCAAACAGCCTTATTTCGATGAAAATGTGCACAGTAAAGTCTATTTACACATAATATGAACTAAAACTTTACCTACGTTTCTGAGAAAGGGATGATACAAATAATTGTGAGCTCTCTTTTGATCAAATAATTACGTCAATTTGAAAAACATTTCACATATAATCATATGTAATTATCTATTAGCAGACAAAGCTTATCAAATTTAATAAGACAATTTAATTAACTGAAATTGGTTTTAACATGTCTTATTTTATGTGGGGCGTAAATTTAAACGAGCTGTTCCCAAAATTACTTCCACGCGCCGCTTCTAAAGAAAGTATTTTATTTTCCACTTCCTTTTTATCTTTGGCGCATTCTAGTTTAATATCGTTACTTGTGTAGTAAACAGCTCAATGTCGTAGCTTTTATGGTGTTAGAAGCTGTCGATAAGAAGCTTTCCGTGCTTGTATGGTTGTGTCAAGTCGAATTGTTTAATCGAATGGAAGGTAGTAAAATATGAATTGATCTCAACCGATATAATCTGTGGTTTAAACGTCAGTGTTGTATCGTTTATTCTAAACTCTAGCTATAATGTGATCGTCTATACTGTGTGTAGTATACGGGACACATTTAAAAAAAATACTTTAACGATTTAAAACGCGATATAAAAACTAAGTTGGAAATTATTTTAAATAGGGCCCGACGTTTCGGATGCTTTATAGTGTATTACAAACGGGTTTTATGTAAATAGTCATTTATACGACTTGCATACAAAAGTATTTAGTAACGTAATTTTAGTGGTTTAATATGAAATTAATTTTTTTATCATTTTGATTGAAAACAAACTGACATTTACAAGGGGCCTCTACCGTAGAGCGAAGTTCTTACAACATCGCGGGTTAAAATTTATTTATCTACAATAATTAATGAAACAGTAGTAGTAACTTACTTTTATTTTTTTAATTTATTCATGTTGTAGTATTAATACGATGGTTTTTAACCTTGAATACGATTTACCTTTTGTAACACTTCAATGTGTAATATTTATTCTGTGATATTAATTATAGAAATGTTTCTCTAGAAACCGACAAAATATTTATTTTACATACATACAGCTGCATTAATGATACTCGCAAAATTAAAATGGCCAATTAAGTTCTAAAGATGAACAAGACAACTTGAACTATGGATAGTAGAGAGTATAATACCATATTATGTAGAGATACAAAATGCATACCCAGTACTATCCAAATCACGAGCGTGTTACCAAGAACAGCTAGCAGAAGCATAACAGCAAAAACAACGAACCAGGCCAATTGTCCCCACCATGGTGGGACATAGGGTCTTTTGCCCATACCCATGCAGTTGCTTAGAGTAACTCTGTAACAAATAAAAAAGGAATTAATTTTTATATTTGATTGCTAAAAATCATATTTTATATTTTATCAGTATCATTTTGGAGCAGATATAGCTTAAAGTATATATTTCACCTAAACTAAATTAGTTTCATTTAGGTTAAATATGGTGTTTGTATTCTGTTTAACAAACACTTTTTATTTAAAAACTCTTTTGCAAATGTTATTGCACGTGATGGCATTACTAAATTCAATTTGATTTTGGATTTTATAAAAATTTGGACAACATTTGGACCAACTCTTAGAGTTAATTGCTTTTTACTATTATTTAAAATGATATGAGATTACGTAATGCTATTAATGTCATATATCTAAATCGCTTGTATTGATGGAGTTTTACTCTACGTGTAGTCTTTCATCAGTGGCCACAATTACGTGAAGGACGTCTTGCTAAAAATATCAAAAGCACAGCTTTCAAACGTTGTTTGATAAGCATACTAGATATAATTAAGGATGATAATTCTAAAGTCACAAAACTTAACCTGAAAAATGGTCGACGAGTACCCTTTGTTTAGTAATACCAATGTCCACAACAAAGAACATTAATTAAATATATTTCCGTTGCACAGAGCAGCTACGACCCTTCTATACAGTTCGCTTGTAATCATCCATCTTTTTGGAAACAAAGCCGAAAAGTAACATAAAATTGTAATTAATTTATGATCCCAATGTTAATAGGGACTTATACTGCCCTTAAGCAGGTTTAACAGCGACCCTCATTAGGAAAATATAAACAATGATATGTAGGCAATGTAAAAATTCTTGTATATTATATTAGTATATTAGTACTGTATTGAATTAATTATAGCAATAAAAATTTTAGAGGACATTTTTTAAGTAGTCTGTAGTTAACGCGAGCAGTACATAATTAAACATAAACATTAAATAAACGCCTGCAAGTCAAGTAATATATTTCACGACGTAGACCGTTACAAATGTTTAAGCCCCCTGCAAACGCTTTCAAAATAGTAATACGTTTGAAAACTTTATTCTTCTTACATGTTATTGCACATAAAGATAGTGCCTACATAATTTAAAGATCTATAATACATTAAAAAAAAATTCGATAATTTTTTTTTTTTATTATACTTTATTTTAATACTATTATATATACAAAATTGTTGTAAATAAAACCGCTAACATTAATCCACGAAATAATGACGTCGATATTGTTATAAAGTAGGAGGCATATTAGGCATTAAGTTCATATAACGTGTCTTAAGTCGTTTTTCCGCTCATTTATTGGGCTGTACGCGTTAATATCGCCAACAGCCCAATAAACTAGGTAATGTAATGAAAGAACCGACGCCTATCTTAGTGATAATTGTAGACCTATGCGTATAAAGCTTTATAACTATTGCATCTATTTTATCGTCTAACTTGGTTTTTGAAGACAAAAGCGGACATCAAATATAGGTTTTATTTGATATTAATTTTAACAAAATTAACAGAATGCAATCAAGATGATACACGAACAAGAACACTTCCATATCTTCTTAAGCATTGTATCTTATTCGGAGACTAGCGATAACATCGAATACTGCCTTTTTCATTTTTTAGAGTCTATAACATGCGCTTAGTTTGTTTTATAATAGTTAGTTTTTCTCTTCTAAAAATGCCTGGCCCTTAATTGGTCTGTAGTTTAGGCGAGTAATACACATTTAAATAAAACACTTTTAACGGTCTGAAACGCGAAATCTGTTAGTTTACGATCCGATGTTTCGAATGCTTTGCATCAGCCGTATTTAAAATAATGAATTTAACTAATACATGTCGCGTTTTTAACCATTAATACTTTAATTAAACTTGTTCTTACTTACATTACGTTTTCATGGATTTAGGCAGGCATTGAACATTAATACCACCTGGTTGTAGATCCTCGATATCTATCTATCTATCTATATATAAAAATGTAGAGTAAAATGATAAGAATAAATAAATTGATAAATATTTATAATTATACTAAGATTAGTAGGGCCGTTAGAACCGCTATACCAACAAGCTAGTAAAATACATATCTCTAAAACCATGTGTTAAACCTTCGATTTACAACTGTAATAATAGTCTATTGTTGACATAAAATAAATCTCACAAGCATTTCCTCATTTAACACTCGAATGATATAAACACGAGTGCTACCCTTAGAAGGAGATTTTGTACCCTTCAAATGACCTTAGGGGATTCTTTGGGTAAGTTTAACGTTTTCGGCACCAAATTTATTTGGTAATAGCGTGATGAAACGTTCCCTAAGAAGTTTAACTTCGATCCTGTTTATTTTGTTAGTTAAAAGGATCAGAACGACCCCAATTTGAAAAGTGGAAGGCAAAGAGGGTGCATTTAAGGCTATTAGGTAATTTAAATAAAACTTTCCTAAAGAAATATTTATTTACTTTATTCAGTTCTTCAGTCTTCAGTTCTTCGTCGAAAGACTGCCTCAAAATATATTTAAAAAACTAGATCCCAAAATTAGTATCTCGACAAATGAAAGTACAAAGTCAATAAGGACGCAGTTAGTTTCTTCTTGTACTTTGACATTAAGGATACCATAGTTTCGTGCTCGACAGACACTATAGACTTATCGATATTATTTAGGGCTAGAGTCATTGTTTGTCTAAAAAATCACAAAGATCACTTCAAGTGTAATTTTAACTTTACTTATAAAACGTCTATAATACCCACACAACAAAAAAAAAAAATCTTATTTTCAAACGTTTCAATATAAATAATTTTCAAGAGAACAAAGATTTTTGTGATATGTTCGTATAGAACAGATTTTTGTTTTTTTCAGAATTGAGTTGAGATTTCTTTAATTAATTTTGACATTCGAGCTTTGCTATATATACATAATATAATATTACTAATATTATAACACTGAAGAGTTTGTTTCTTTGTTTCGCGTTATCTCGTTAACTACTGGTACGAATTGTTTTATTTTTTTGATAGACCATTTATCTAGGAAGGCTTTAGGCTATAAAATATCTAGCTGCAACCAATGGGAGCGTGGAAACAGAAGGAAATGTAAAAGAAACGTGGAAAATATTCATCTTTAAAGGCTTCCATTGCGTGCGCGACGGAAACGGTTAAAAAACGAATAACGATGTAGGTAGGTAAAGAATGATTCTTTAAATGATCTTTAAAAATGTTCGCGACGGTTTGTGTCTATCTATTAAGTATTTCTCGCAAGAACGATGGGACGCTGATGATGTCGTTTAATATGATGCTTAAAAAACTATTTATGCGAAGGAAGTCGCAGCTATACATAAAACAGTAGGTACACAGAAAAGACAATACATTATTTTTATCTAAACACTGCCTTCTGGGATTACTCCATTACTGAATATTGGCCCTTAGGGACATATAAGAATCTATAAAGAGGCTTTTTAGTAATTATAACGCCATTACGAAATACCGGCGACGTTATTTACACAACGGAAAAGTGCGGGTTTAAAATAAAAAGATCAATATTCTGTAATATTCTTGGATCCATTACGTTCGTTAGAAATTGAAGTTTCTTTATCTCTAAATAATAATTTCTGAAATAGTAGGATAATAGTTTATAAATTAAATATAAATTGAAAAAAATACGACGCGGGCAGGTCTTGAACCGGAATCTACAGCGTTCGATGCCGTTGCCCTAACCAACTGAGCTAGAGTGTCCTACACTCTCCATCTATTGATACACGCTTTTTCGAGCAAATCACGTGACAATATTCAATTCACTACAATCCTTGATAATTATCACAGCCGGGACTTCGTTCGCTTTGTAGCGCTTATGTTATTCACAAATAACATATGATTCTAATATTAACATTCAAGAACAAGAGTCACTTCTATAAGAAAACATTTTTTATTATCTTATATAAATATAACGGAAACATTTTGTTACACAACACACACAATCATATAATAAAAAGTCAAGCATCTATAACAATACCTACATTACATACATAAAGTGTTACATAAAGTGCTAAATTTAAAAATATAAAAAATGGAATGTTCAATTCTTGTTACACTAGCTGTGTCAGCGTCTTCTTCCGCGAAGAAGAGTTATTTTGGACATCCAAATTTGTTTTTGCAAACCTCATCATCATCTTTAAAATTGACGCTGTTATCCACGCCCTCGTCTCCTCCTTCTTGCAAGTAAAATATAATAGATCGACATTCTTTCGTACATGTTTTTGGGTATTTTTAACATTTTTAGCAGCGTACGCAAAGGAGACCCACAAATATTACTTCTATATTTCTATACTTCTTCTTATTATATATATATATTCTTATTCTATACTTCTATACTTCCGCGTTTTGTTTCACATTTCCAGCTGTTTCTTTGCTCCTATTAGTTGCAGCACGATTCTAATGGCCTTACTCGATAAAGACTCTAACCAACACCATTTTTTAATTAGAACTAGTAGTTAGGAACTAGCGCTCGTAGATTAGCGCGTATAAACAAACAAACACACAAACTATTCACCTAAATATATAATGGAAATTTTTTAACAATCTCCACTACTTTACCTCCACAGATTATTGTATTTCATATTGTTCCTTTAATATCAAGAACAAGTACCAAACCATAAATATTTTAAATTAAATATGCACGTAACAGAGTTCTAATTAGAGCGCGGAATTACTAGAACGGTATTTAGCGACTGTAATATTAAATAACTGTCTGTAATTTAAGCGAGTGCACATTTAAATAAAACACTAACGGTTTAAAACGCGATATATATTAGCAGCTGTGGTCACGAGGAACGGGCTGCTGCAAAGCAAACGTCGGGCCATAATTAACATAATTTTTAAATAAGCTTAACTAATATCACGTTTTAAACCGTTAAAGTGTTTTAATTAAATTTAGATTGTAATATTATGTGCACACTACAGATAATTTATTTTCAAATAACTAACGAATATGTTGTCTAATCCTACTGTATATTAAATAAAGTAAAGTAAATACAAATGATAACA